ATATTATATTATATTATATTACATTATATTATATTATATAACAAGTTACTCAATAATTTCAATTGCGATTATAGACAAGCATGCATCGAGAATGCGACATTACTAGGTCGAACTTTTCTTCGAATACGATAGATTTCGGAACGAGTGGAAGTACTATTTCACACTCGCACGTATAGTAGAGCGGTCCTCGGTTATATCGGGATCAACGATTCTTTTTCAATCTTTTTAGACTCGCTGGAATCGCGATCGGTACCACCGAGCGGCGCGTGCTTTCCCGGACCTTGTGGAAAAATCTCGGTCGCCGCATTTTCGATCGCGCGGACAACGACAAGCGGCCGCGGCCGCGCTCGCTGGCCGTGCAAATCAATTTTTATCGGAGTGTAACGTAGGTAGCCTAAGCAAGGCAGCGTTGTCTTGTACAGGCTGTGTGTGGGATGCGCCCCGACGCGGCGTACCGGCTCTCCGCGTCTATCCAGCAGATAAAAGGCCCCGTTCTTTGTCCTTTTTCGCGTGGTCGACAAAATTCAAGCCTCGCGGCGTCCACGCGCGCGTTTTACCACGCCTCCTGGTCTGTCTCCTCTTTAGGGAACAGCCGGAGATAGATACGTACGTACGTGCACGCGTCTCTTCGAAACCTCCGTTTCCATTCATTCGCGGGCAATCGCGCCGATCGAATCCTTCTCGCTTTCCAGATTTATTCCGGAAGAATCAGGACGACGCTCTTTCCCGTCTATGTACATTGGCTACGAAAACTCTCCGTACATTAAGACTCTGATATTTAATAAATTGTCAATATTTAGACCGTTGTAGACCGTCGAAATAAGAAACAAATTTCTAATCGATTGCTGCTTCTTGCAATCGGCGCAGACAATTTTTATTCTTCTATATTATATATAATATAATATATATAATATAATAATAAAAAATCAAAAGAATCGAGTAACTTCTTTAACTCTTGCGTCAGTAACGAAATAAGTATGCAAGTTTAAAACCTCAATTTTCAAGAGTGTATCTTTGTTCTGAATATGTAAATTGATATAAGAGTGTACAAAGTTGTTATTATTAAGATCAAATATAATAAAAAATTTCCACTTCAATTTCTATCGAAAATGTGATAAAACTTCGTTTCTTCACGAAAACACGCTTTTTCATAAAAATCTTGGGGGTTGAAACGTCTATAAAACGAATAAAAAAAGGTCGTACATCACGTTTTGGTAGTTTCATCCGCAACAATCCGCATATTCATAGCATATACGAGTAAACTTATACCTTTGTGTAAAAGCGTGTTAAGAAAACATGAATGCAAACGATGATTTCTGAATACGGACAATTCAAGCTTTAAAATGAGGCCAGATTTTAATGATCGGAAATTTAGTTTACGCAGAGTTTCCGGTGCCACCGCAAAATAATTGAGCTATTTCACCGACCATGCTGTCTAATACGTTGCTGTTATAGATTTTTCTGGACTATAGAAGTTTGCGACAAGGCTTGTCCTTCGCGCTTTGACATACACAGTTCACGATTTCGATGCATCGAATACGTTAAACGTCAAAGTTTAAGTGCTTTAAGTGCTTTCGAAATTCTGTTACATACAGTTACTCGCTTCAGTATTCGGCTCGTATCTATCTGAATTATTAAAACATCCTTTCGCTCGCTGTTTGCCGTATTAACTTATTTATTGTATACGATAGAAACATAAATAGTTGTTACGTAATTGCATTATCGTTTTGCGTTATCGGATTCCCATTTTTGCAGCACTTTTCGACGAATTCTTCTTCAAAATCCCTAAATATTTATTTTTATCTTGAATGAACACTGATTCGCTGACTGCAGCACTTGATATAGAGATATAGATATAGAAGCAACTTTTTCCTTTACAAAAATATTCTCCGAGGCACCCCGTTAACGAGTTATTAACGAAAAACAATGACCAATGAGAGGCGAGCTCGACTGGCGCGAGGCGATCGAGCCAATGAGCGGAACTGGGCTTCGCGCGCTGTTTGGTTGGGCCGCCTCGCGTCAGCCGTACTCGATTCTTATTGGTCATTGTTTTTCGTTGATAACTCGTTAACGGTGCCTCGGAGAACATTTCTGTAAAGGAAGAAGTTGCTTCGAATGATCCGAGGAACCCGCCATTCCGGATTGCGAGACATTTTTGGAACACCCTGTACAATCCCATACTATCCCGCTTCCAGCTCCGTGCTTTATTGTTATAGTCTCAATTTTTTCTCAAAGCAAGATCTCTTCGATCTTGCTTTCTATTACGAGTTAGCGATCAAACTTAGCGAAAGAATGTGTATCGAAGGAAGGAGAAGGGCGATTGGTTGTAATTTTAGCTGATGAGAGCAAGTATGTATAACGGTTTCGGTTCAGATGGAATAGACAGAGTGCGGAGGAGATTCAATAGAAATAGCAACGTCTTCACGTTTTAGTTGTTACAATGGCAATTCATCTTTGTTTCGCGCTCATTAATTAAGACCATAAATAGAAGAGCGAAAAAGTAGCGAAAACCGTCGATTCGGAAAACTTTCACTAGGAATTTACAACGTCGTGTTACGGTATGAACGATAAAAGACAGATCTTGTTTATGTATTTGCTGAACAGAGGAGTTCTTTCACTCGCAACGATGTCCTTCGAAGATACAGTACAAACAGATAGAAAGTGTCTCTGGTCAGTTAGCGTGAGAAATCCGCGAATTACAGCCGATTCGAAAAGATTCGAGCATTTGCATTTGAAACCGACAAACTGGGAAAGCTGTTCGAATTATTTGCATTTAGCGCATCTCGATCGACAAGTTCGAAATAGTAATTAATTAATTACTATTTCGAACTTTAATTAATATAAAATAGTAATAGTATTAGTAGTCAATTTATTATTAATATTAATATTATTATTAATATTAATAGTAGTAGTAATAGTAATTAATTAATTATTATTTCGAACTTTAATTAATAATAATAATTAATTTTGTTTTAGGGACGTAATTAGAGCGCGCCCGTGCGCGTCCATTAAAATAAATATAGTTATATTAACCCCAATAAATATTATAATAAATTGGAAGTTTAGTAAGTGTTTATTTAAAGTTAATCCAGTGGCTTTAGCGGAGTCAACTCGGCGTAGATTAATAATGCAGGTCGTTCGATCGACGTTTCCATCGGCGATCGTTTCCAATCGGAATCGTTGAATTCAACGGTGTCCGGTTGAATTGAATTAGCGTGTGAGAACCGTCGTCTTACATGACCCAGAAGCCTTTTTCCAGTCATCGATAAACGTCGTTATATAAGATCGAAGCGGCTTTAATGATTACCTCTTCGACTTCGACTGCTTTATCGAATTAGTTAACCGAATCATCTGTGGGCTGTCATTTTTAAAAACTGGTTAGAAAATGCTTCGCGACGGCGAGACGCGTCGACGTGATGGCGATCCGTTTTAACCCCTTAATGGACAGTTTTTTTGAAGAAGGCCGGCCAAAAAAAATCAATTTTTTTTAATGTAAAAAAAAACACAATTTAGAACGTTGTCTTGGCAAGAAAATAACAAAAATACAAGAATAATCAAAATTTTTATTGCAATTTTGGATTTTGATAACATTGCAGAAAATAGTCGAATATTGTAATATTACACGCACGCACGCACGCACGCACACACACACACACACATCGACTTTTTTTTTTATCTTTCTTTTCGAATTCCCATTTCAGAATAAACATTATTATCAGTGAAAATATTTATTTATACTTTTAAAACATAAATAATAACGATACTAGTATTTATAAAATTAATCAAAATCTTTTCTTTTCCTTTTTCCTTTGCTATCACTTTTAGCACAACACACAGCGCAATATCATCTTGTGGGCGATCCTTTTTTTGGTGTTGGTGGAACAAAACTGTACAACGCCGCTCGAATTATCTCGAGTGCGCGCAGTTTGGCCAGTTTAGCGCGCGTTAAGGGGTTAATGTTCGCTTCGATCTTAAAATTTCGTTCGTTCGAACATGGGAAATCGCTTCCGTGCCGATAACACCGTATCGAAATCTAAACTTCTTCGAATGGGATTCGAAGAAACGAAGCGAGAAAATTAGTTGACAGTGGCTTACTTGTTCGCGAAGCGAATCCAGGAAAGTCCTCTCTCGATTCTAGATGCACGAAACCGCGCGAATGTTACGAAATCAAAGATTTGAAACCGTCATGATGTAGTTACGCGCGGCGTACACACAGGAAGAAGAAACACGAGTGGACGTGACATGGCCGACTTACCGTCAGCTGACAGATAAGCGATTCCGAGATTTCCCGATGGTTACCGATATTTCTCGCTCGCTAAAACGCCCACGGTGTCGCGGCTAATTTCATCGCGTAGGATTCGCGCGTAACGGGGTTACCATGTAAAAGCCTGTCGGAGTTCGAAAAATTCGCTCGCGTTTCATTCAATCCGCGACGCGAAGGTAAACAAAGGGAGACACCTTCGATCCGACGGAATCGCTACCCCCCATTGAAAGGCTGAACCAATCGGTCGCGATTGGACAACACCGGGCAATTCCGCGTTTCGGATCGGAGCTCGGCTCGCGATCGCGCCAGCACGATTCGAACTGTACGATATGGGATCGTAATTGCTCTCCAGTCTTTGTCTCTCCCGTCTCTTCCCTTCTCTTTTGACGCGCAATCGAATTCCAACGGGGAAGCCGGCCGCGGACAGTTCGGCCGTCGTTCGTGGCAACTTGGAAAACCGTACAACGTGTTCGGAACGGAGCCGGGGATGCGGAGGAAGGGGGCGCGGTCGTAAATCTCGAGTAAAACGAGGGAAAAAAGTACGAGTACGTGCGAGCTACTGCAGGAATGCAGAAGGAACGTCGGCAGCGGGGAAGGCGAGAGACACGGAGACCGAGAGAGTAAAAGAGAGACGAAACGATCGGGAGGAAACGGAGAGAGACAGGGAGGGAGAGAAAGAGCTGTACGTACTGCTGTAGTACGGCCGTTTTGTATCGAAGTATGTTTCAATACGTACGTGTGCCTCTGTGTGTGTCTGTGTGTGTGTGCGCGAAGGGCCGCTGCTGCGTGCACCACCAATCAAACGTCGAGTCACTGCACTTTGTCGCGTTTTGCCTTTTACAGATCACATCAGCGAGGTTTACAAGCCACGATTACTGATACCGATCGGGTCTGCACCACATTACGGCAATTGATCACTGTTCACATTTCTATCTGACGGACGTCGCGCGACTGCTCGCCACCCACCATTGGCATCTCGTGTGTTCTTGCTTCCACTAGCCCCCTTCGACTGCACTGGACTGCGCGACAAATGCTATACCCCGCGCCGACTGAAACGCCGAATGCGATCGACTCCAACTCCAACTTCCGACTACAGGAGGCACTGGAAAATCCTCTTATGTTGGCTGCTCATCCTGCGCGCTTTCAAACGTGCCATTTACCGTCAGATGGCCCCACTCTTCCGCACCGGTAACGACATCTTGCGCCGACTCCATCGAACGCGTTATCCACCCATGAACGCGACGTTTAGATTTTATATAAATTTCACAAACTTCGGCAAACGTCGTGTACAGCAGACCTGGACACGTTAGAAATGACATTATTCGACCCACGCCTCTGACGTGCTCCGAGCATTTGGACGACTGTGGGGGAGCGAGACGCGCGACGGAAGTCGAGAGGCGTAGCCCTCGCGATCCGCAAGCTGCCTGCCGATAATTCCGAGCCCTGATTTAGACCGTAGAAATGCTTTTCTGTTGTTGGCAAAGAGCATTCTTGCAAAATCAAAACTGCAGCCTATTTAAGTAATGAATTTTCAGTGCGCATGCGACCATGCAAGAATTTACGCAGGTCCCTCGTGAATGCAAATGACAACCGCAATATGAAATTGTACCAATCCGTACACCATGATCGGAAGTACTCGAGCCATCAATGATTACTGCATATAGGAAACTCAGAAATATAAATAGAAATGCTTTCGTTATCTTCGGAACGAGCAAATCAAATAAACCGTCATGATTTTGAACTCTTTATTTTCTATTTGTCAGTATACTCGTCGCAGTCATTTTCAAATCGCGATCCACCCATTATAAACTACATTCTTCTAACTATAATCTTGTCGCATAAGAAGTAAAATGTATCATCGGAATGCAATTACGAATTCAATTTGCATTGCAAAATTATTATTTGTTCAAGAGCAAATGGTTCTTGCTGTTTTTGTTATAAGGCATACAGTTCAAAATTCAAATTTCAAATATCCGTACAGCGCCACTTTCTGTAGTGGCAAAACATTCAAACTAATTAAAAGTTCATTTGACATTACCATCGTGTTGGTACCCGTCGGTACATATTTTGTAGAACCGCTATTATAGGCACTCTTTTCACTGCTATCTAAGTTAGCTGCAAGCTTGAACGAACTAAAATTCAATATGGCTGACCGCCCGCATGCGCATTCGGTGGATCGTGGTATATACACATAGACCGTATGTTATTTGACGCAAACCGTTCCTATCGTTTTGAGCGAAGCTAAGCGGACTGTAAACAAACCAGCGAACAGATATACCGGACATGAGCAGTAAGCCACATTTATTTTTTATTTCCCATTGTCTCTTATATCTTTATAACAGTATTTAAAATACGTATATTTTCTATCGTCGACAACGTAGCAGCGAGGACGTCGCAGCCAGGAGTATAATAATTTCAAGTAACAATGCCGAAAGTAGTTTCAAGGAGTATAATATGTTCCGACACCAAGGATCAAGAAGAATACAGCGAGGAAAAACCTCTACATATTTATTATTGTTTGTGCGGGCAAATGACATTAATTTTAGGTTAGCTTTGTTCTGTTTATTATTTACATTTTACTATATTCTCCATGGTTATAGAGATAGTGATAAATCTAATTTACTCGTTCTTCGTATAGATTGTGCAATAGACAAATTACCTTTGAGAAAGAGAGACGGTGCACGAGTTATCGATGGAAGTAAACATGCTCATAAAATGACTTGCGAGCAAGATGAAATCGTATATTTGAAACGATCCGAAGGCACAGAAAAACAATATCGTCAAAAATGTAAAAAGTGAGAATTTATTTTATAAAAGTACTCTGTTCTCTTAAATGTGTACAAAAATCTGAAAAAGTATTGTTTGTGTTTGCGATACTAATTGTACGTACTGTTACAGGTGTGGACTGTTTCTTTATTACAAGCACGATCAAAGTACAAATGTTGTGTTTATCGTGAAGGGTGCTGTAATTAAAAGTTCTGGCGAGGGTCCTATGACAGACATATACAATCAAGTAGCTATCGAGAAACCAAAGAAGATAATGGTGACAAAACATACAAAAAATATGGGAAAATTCAGTTCGGTTACTGTTTCTACTATCGACGAGGAAGAGGATGAGATCGAAGCTGTAAGTATTATTTATTGCATCGTTATTGCGTCTTTGTACTATATTTCATGCGTTTTATATTTTCAGAGAGAGGTTGCAGATTCGTATGCGAACAATGCAAGAATAATAGAAAAACAATTAGAGAGGAAAGGAATGAATAAACGAAAGACTATGCCTCCACCTGAAGCTGATCAAAAGAGAGCAAGACCCAGAGGCACGCTATTGGACGTGTAAAAAATCCATTGTATATTATCGAGTATCGAAAGATATTTGAATTGTATATAAATGCAAATGTATATAAACGACAAATAGTCCAAAGAATTAGACAAGTTTTTTAACATTATATCGAATTGTTTATTAACATTACATAAAAGTAAATATTTAAAATATATAAATGACTAGATACAAATATTGCATAGAAATGTACATTGCAAAATATAGGTATAAATGTAATAATAAATAAATACAATAACTACATATAATTCATTAATCAGGCTTACCGGAGGGTAAACAGAGTTCTACCTATGATCAGAATTAGTAAGATGGCAACGTTAAATGGTAAGACAAGGGGGGTGTACTTTATATACGCTAACTGCAACCAGTTAAACAAGTAAACGGGTCTATGAAATAATTTTGGGTGATATGGCTTTTTTTAACATGGAAGAGAAAGAAAGATCTATCTAATTATTATCTAACTGGCCATGTTAGATCTACGATCTACAAGTACGTAGTGTGTAATACTATGACATATTAATGCGCACATTGGTTGAAAATTGGGTGGGACGTTAAGCTAGCTGCACTTGCGATCAAACGTGATAGTTTTATCAATATGGTTGCGAAGTATAATGAACCGAATACGACCGATATCGAAGTTGTCGCTAACAAGACTATCGGAGTTTCTGACTTCGAGACCGACAGAATCTCTGCCAGAGACCGGATAATTGAAAAAACGATTTCATCCAAAGCTTGTGTATCTCTAGTGCCATATTATTTCATTTATAGATATTTTTAACGCTACAACAAAATCATAGCACATTTTCTATATATCTAGTAAATGCATTTTAAATATATGTATCCCTTGACGGTTGTGTCAACTGCAACTTACGTTAAATTAAAATTATACGTAATTCTATCTTTACACATAGTATGAATTCGCAGTTGGAATTATCACGTTTGCAATTACAGATGACGATTTTTTGTTTGATATATTTATATTTATAAGTTGTAAGTCTAACGGTGCAATGTATCCACGGAAACATATACAGCGACCAGTCTATAAACTTAAGTATTGATCTGAGAAGATTTAATATCGGCTTTCTTAAGTATCGTGGGTTCGTCTTTTAGAAAGGTGCCCGATCTGGAACCCACCGTAGGTTGCTTCGCAACTTCCCCGTTATGGCACTTATTTTTGACCTTTTCGTCGCTCGGGGCCTTAACATTAGTCGTCCTTTTATTGGTAACCGCAGCTTTGTTTGCTTTATAAGCGCCAGATGATATTGGGGAAGATCTTTTACTAGGGCTTTCGGAGCCCTGTTGATTCGGCAATCCTTCTTTCTTTTCTCTTTTCAGATTAGGATGACTGATCGCGGACTGTGCAACTGGCCGCGTACTCGCGACTTTACTAGACACGTTATTCAATGACTTACTTGGGATATCCGGTGTCTTTGCGGCATCGAGAAGATTTCTTCGTAAACTAGGCGAGCCGTGGTAAGCGCTTATAGCTGCTGCTCTGCTTCTACTAGCAGCGGTTGAACTCTCCAAAGATTTCAGAGGCCTTCGAGTTGCCGTCAACGGACTTCTTTGCTGCATCGGTGGTGAACTCTTTTTCACCTTGTCGTAAGCTTGCGTTTTGCTCAACGTTTTCCCTAGAGTCGGCGACAGTTTGTTGGATACATTCGATTTAGGCGTGGTCGTTATCTCGGTCATAAGACTATCCGTGGACATCGAGGTATCCATTTTAGTGGTTTTCTTCTTCGCAGCCGTAGCAGGCTTATTCTTTGATTCTGCTAGCGAATCCACAGACAACCCTACCTCGGCGTTCTTTTGTTTGAAAGATGGCGATTCGGGACGCGTGATGCCGCAACTTTTGCTAATCGAATCCTTCGTATTGGTCGGTTTAGTCGAATTAGGGTCGGTTAAACTGTCGGAGGAAAGAGCTTTCACATCCTTCTTTATGCGTAACTTTATCTTAGCCAGTGGCTTTTTATCTGTAGCGCGCTTCATGGCGGGACTAGATGTTCGAGACGAGTCTGAAGATGAAATCATTATCTTTCGTCGTTGCGGTACCAATACCTTCTCCTGCGGCTGCGATGGTTGTATGGTTTCTTTGGGAACAGATTTATTTCTAGGCTCTAAGTACCTCGATTTTACCTGGAAAATATACCAAAATTCGGTATTATGCACCTACGCGAAACAGATAAAATTACGAATATAAATTACTTCGATTTTATTCGGCCATGATTTAGGTCTTGATGTTTCTGCAGGAGGAGCTGGTGGTTTCTCTTCTTGCACTTTACGTTCCAATGGATCGCTTTTAGGTTTATTAAGTACTTTCTTCGGTTGTTGTACAGTTACCATTTGTTTCAAAGTTTTATCGTTGTGTTTGGATATAACCATTTTTACACGCTTCAAATCCAAACTGCGATTCGTCGTTGTCCGATTCGGTGCTAATTTAGGTTCCTACGAAAATATAAATTGATTATCGTGAAACGAACAATTTAATGTATAAAAGTATTGCATAAATTACGCATGTTATCATTTACTTTGACAAAGTTCGAATGTCTTGACTGGCGTTTCACAGTTTCATGAGGTAGAATGACAAGGCAAGCCAACTCTTGTATTCTACGACGCAATTCTAAATCCATTTTTAACCATGTTGTAGTTCTTGCTGCTCGAGTCGCGTCTCTGACCAAGCACTTTTCCACACGACTCTGTATTTTCTTCAGAAAGTCAACGAATAAAGGACCCCATTTGGTTTTTTCCTGTGCTTCGTCCACTTGCACCGAAGCCAACATCTTATGCAACTTTGAATAACTTTTACACGCTTGTTCGGGAGGCAAGTGTTCAGCAGCAGCCAAAAAATTGTCTTCCAATCGACTAATGTTCCATGTCAACTCTCGGCCAAGGGACTGAAAATTTTCATTGCCCAATACCCCTGAGAAATTCTCCGATAAAAACTTGACCGACGTTTCTAGCAAATTCGAAACCATTCTAAACACTGGTTCTGCCCAACGAACGTTTGGCAGGGTTGCGAGAAGTTTATCACAGTCCATCATAGTTTGAAGCACATTGTCCGTCGACTAAAATTTTGTAACAACCATTATGAAAATCTGGAATAACATTCGACGATACGTATCAAATATTGCGTACCATGTGCACAATATGCTGATGATAACATTTTTCCATCAGTTCTCTTGGAAGAGTCGCAAACGCTTTGCATGGCCATATTCGTACAAAATGTCTTGTAACCCAACGAAGAGATTTTCGATACACTTCGTCCAGACCGTAAGCTGCTGCCAAAGGCATACACTCCAAGACACCCACAGCGCATACTTGGCAAGGCTACAATATCAGAGTTAAGATAATGAATAACGACAAATTAACGTGCATCGTATAACAACAGATGGTATCGTATAGATACCTTATGAAACAGGTGGCAATATTTCACTTTGAGTGTATAACCTATAACTTCTTTGAGCCCCTCCAAACACAGCATGTCAGCCAATGTCGCTAACTCTACTATGCTTATAGAATCTGGTATGTTACTTTCTCCACTGTAAATGTGGCACAACGCGAAGTGTACGGCATCATAAGAATATCCTTGCAAAGATATAACATTCCCTGCGCTTTCAATCCATCCTCCGCTGAGAATTGCTGCAAAGTATTGACAACGAGAACTCAATATACATTTGTGTGCTCTTATACGCCGACCAGCAACATCGATTGTAACATCCGGATTAATTTCTTCCAAAAACATCCTTAACAGATCTTCTCCTAATCGGTTGTATGGTCTTCCTCCTGCTAAACTCGACGTTTCCGTTTCCTCTGTGCTTCCTTCTAAAAAGAATACGGCAACCAACATCTTTTCCGGTTACTATAACATTTCGTTTCGCACGTTCTTTCAACGGAATGTCTGTACAACTTACCTGCCCCGGAACGACCCATGCTACTCTGCATACTACTCAAATCTGATTCCGATATAATACCTTCGCCATCGTACTCTCCGGTCAGGTCTTCCAGAGGAGATTTTTGTTTAGACGGCAAAGAAGTGCTCATGATCGATGTGAATTTTCTGGGCAACGGTCTGACCGATCCATTCGTCCTAGACACAACTAACTTACTCTCGATCCAGGAAGTTTCTGGGATGCTGTTGCACATTCGATACGCGGTTCTATCTTCTTTTACGATCAAAGTGTCCGACGCGTGGGACGCTATAGGCGTCTTATCCAAATCCGACAACCTTACAAAGGTGGATGCAGTCGCTTTCAGATTAAGTCCCATAACTCTGTCACTTTTTTTCGACGTAACGTTGCGATTCTCGTACGTTGTCCCTGGCTTCTCATAATCCGGACCCTTGAACTCGCTTTCGATCTTCTTGATCGTTTCGTTCAAAGATTTATGCGTTTCAGATATCTTATTACCTACGGCAGGCACTACTTGTGCTCGATCTATGTTTGGCACTTCACCGTTCAATAATTCTGACAATTCGTAATCGTGATTATCGCTGTCGGGGGATGGTCCGCTACCGCTACTAATATCAAATGTTTCGCTTTTACGCGTTTGTCCTTCGGTGCTCTCTGTACAAGTTTTCTCCCACGCGGAAGGCTCTGAAAATTCATCCTCGTACGTCTTGGGATCCGTAGCGTTAACGTTGTCTCCGATTCGGTCGGCTTTCAACTCCGTGTAGTCGTGTTCCTTTATGCTCACACGAAGTTCTTCGTTGATCACTTCGACGTGAGAATTCGGGGGTGTGTCTCTTGTATCGTATTCAAAGGCGTCCTCCGAAGATGTGTCCATATTACTCAATGCTCCGTTACCCTCCTTCAGTAGTTTCGAGTTTCTTTGAGAGCCGCATTCCGGTTTTATCGCGTCGCTCAAAGAATGACTCGAAGAACTGGGCTTCGCTTGTACTTTCTTCAAGTCTCCACGGTCTACGGAGAGACTGTGCGCCCGTTTGTGCTCTTTCCTGAATATAATTTCTTTCGCGATGTGTCCGTTATTGGTATTAGCACCTTGGGTCTTATCGACATTCCACGAATGTCGTTTGAACGTTGGTCGCGACGTGGACAAAGTCCTTCTTCTAACTACCGGAGAATCAGACTCTATGTACATAAACACGCTTGGCTTGGCCTTCTCTCTAACGCATTTTTGATCGCTCAACGATTGGTCTTCTCTAGCAGTAGTGTTCTCTGATTTGATACTGTCCTCCGATTTGAATTCCACACGTTTGTCATAAAACGTGGAAAAACTTCTTCTGTGCGTTGCCTGTACAGTGGTCTCTGCGCTCGTAGGCGGATCACTTAAATCTATGAACATAGAGAATATATTCTTCTTGTCCGCTCCTTCAACGACCTTGTCAGGCTTGGCGGCAGAGTCTTCCGTTTCAATTTTCTTGATCTTCGATACGCTATTCGCTGCAGACATGTCAACATAAAATTCGCAGTAGGATTTGCTACCTTCTTGTTGATCTCTTCTCTGTGGTAGACAAATCTGCTGTTGCTGCAGCTGTTGTTGTTGTTGTTGTTGTTGTTGTTGTTGTTGCTGCTGCGGCTGCTGCTGCTGCTGCTGTTGAGTAATCGGCTTGCAATCCATATCTTTCAAGTTAACGAAAAATCCCAGGCTACCGTGCTTTTCATGGCTACTTGTTTTCCTCATAATTGGTTTTTTCACGCATTCAGAAGTTGAAAAACTTTGAGACATGCCTACATGGGAATTTGACGTTGGTTTCGGGTCGTTTTTGTTGCAGTCGCTCATGTCGACCACCCACGCGGTCATTGAAGAAGACATTCTCGCTGATTTCACTCTTACTTCAGGTTCGCTCATGATGACAGAACCTCCTGAAACAATAGGAGTAGACTCCGTTTTCCGTCGCACAGTAGGACTATCGGTAGGTTTTGAATAGTCGGACGTGCTAACTCCACCCGAAATAATCGGTGTAGTCTCGTCACACTTGATATTCTTAACAGTCTTTTTCAAGATATCCGTTTTAGCGTCCTTTTCCAATATACAGTTCAACGTGACCGGCAGACTGTTGCTACAACTGCTCGATCCATTGTCCGGCTCTACGTCGTAGTCCATTACCATTTTATCGCTGGCACTTTTAGTTACTGGATAAGTTACGCTAGTTTTACCGTCGTTCTGCTGAGGATTACCAGAATCCGCCGACATCTGATCAACCTCGTATTTTCCATTGTCCAGTGACAGATATGGCATCGCATGATATTGAGTAGCGGATGAGATTGGAACATCCATGGTAAATTTGTTGAGCACGTTGCTCATGGGAATCGAGGGTTCGTCTGGTGGGATAAAACATGAATCGCCGTCGACGCGATGTCCTGAATATTGAGGTATAGCATTTTGGAATACCAAAGTACCCTGCCGCCGTTCATATTCTTGTCTCAACACCGACAACTTCTCGTCGTTAGAATCCAACTCGAATGTGTTTCTCCTGATAAGAGAGGGTCGTCGGGTGTCTTCCGCAAAGTTTGGATCTTCGGCATCGGTTTTCTCGGTGATTTCTCCTTTGTCACTTACCAAGTTCACCGGGGCGGCTTCATTGTCGGTATTCGTTCGCGGCACACCGTGTCGATCGTTATTCATATTCTTATTATTGTCGGGATAAGGAGACGGGTGCGAGCTCTCGCCGCTGTCAGCCTCCTTAATTTCTACAACTAAAGACTCTTTGTTCGTTTCGGTGCTTATATTAATTTTATCTTCGGACGTTGAATCGGTTCTTCTTATCTTTCTTGTATCCGTAAGCGGTTCCAGGTATTCCGTGAGCTTCAACTCTCTCTCAAACTCTGCCACCCTTTCGTGTCCAGTTTGCAAATTACTAGTTTTAACGGATGTAAATTTGTAACATTGCTCATCGGCAGAATCGTTCGATTTGCTTTTGCTTGCGGCATATTCGGAAGGATAGGAAGAATACAATTGCGGCTTTTCAACGAGACATAGATTTTTGGTTACCTTCGAAGTTGGTACCACAACTTCGTCGCTAAGGGTCGAGGCATCGATAAAGTAATAGTTGCTTGTGCTACAGGAACTTTTCTGTTTCGGCGCTTCGCACGATTCTTCGAGCCTTGCATTTTCTGATTGCGTAGTTCCACCTTGAGAGCAATCATGGCTGGCCAGTTTCTTTTCTTCTTGCGGCTTCTCCGTGGACTCTCCTTTAGTCGATTCCTTCTCCACATCGGTATTTACAGAAGATGCATTGCCGAGGTCAACGAATTCAAACAATTCGTTTTCATCGCTGCCACAGTCCGATTCGTAAAATGGATCGCTAAGGACTTGGTTTTCATATTGAAAAATTTCATCCGTGTGCAATTTAGCCTTTTGAGCGTTCTCTGCCGACGAACTAGAGGAATCTAGATGCGGTTGTTCCGCGTCGACGGAAGAGCATGTTGCGCTATGGTCGTTCGATGCGCATTCCATCAATCCTGATTCCACCAAGTCTCTTATATGGCATGTACTATTGTAATTATTGGCGGAATCATAGCGATCCGAATCTACGACTACCTTCTGATCTCTATTATTGACACACCTAACGCGTATCTTGTCAAACTCTTCGTTCGTAGATGTATATTCGGTGACTTGTAATTCTTCGAAATCGGTACTCGAATTTTCGGAGGCCGTGTTTTCGTGTGGACTTACAGAACCAGTTTCTAAACCAGAATCAGCCATATCGGATAAAGTGGGACTTACATCCGCTGCAACGTACTCCTCTACGTTTCTTGCATTTCTAAATTTTACCGTTGAACTGCAATCTGTTTTTGGGCAATCCGCATACCTTTGGCATAAATAAAAAATATTGGTGAGTACACAATATAAATTAATAGAGAAAAATCAGTGCTACGATGTTGTAAAATATAATCAGAAATTGCAACCTTTTGTCGATGTTGAAAGTAACATTAACGCGAGATGCGTTCACAAGTTTCGATGTATAAGTAACATTCGAAATGAGTTCCACCAATATCTGCTCTTCTTGCAATAAATTTGTATTGCTATACAAACGCCTGAAAACGTATACGATATTAAAACACATATCAAACTAAATGAAACGAGTCAAAATACATCTAAACTATATAATATTCTATTATTTTTTACATTCGATGATATTGGCAATAGAGGTGACGAATGAAATAGCGTAGCATGCTAATTAGGTTCTATAATTTGTATTTTTGTTTGTGTAACATATAGAGTTAAACACGCTTGATACAGCTATAATAAAATATAGGAGGTGCACAGAAATTAAAGAAAGCAGTTGAATAAACAATAACGACTTGTTTTGGCTATATACAACTGACAATGTTTTAAATCATCCATAGAACAGGGCATAATTACATCTATATCTATACATTGAATATCGACTTATTCGTGTACACTAAAATTGCATACAAATTTAATAAACAAATACACACACTTTTTGATGGTTTTAAAACTACATGATATTTAATTAGAACAGATGAATTATTTGTACAGAGTTCACGTAGACAAATATTTTTTAATTCCAATAAAAAGGATACAAAGAATGCGTTAAATGTTTATTCAGGAATATTTGTATCCATTGTTTGCATATAACTAAAATCGGTAAAATTTTGTTATCGCTAAATTTGATAATTATCTGGAGTATATATGTATATATTCAAGAATACAAATGTTCCTTAATTAAACAAGAATCTATGCAGATATTGCTTGCAGAATTTAAA